CTCTGTGTGGGGCTGCACCTTAAAACCTTTCAAAGAACGAAGCTGGTGCAAATGGCAGCAACACACTGAGCAGGGCATCTCGCTGGGAGCATGTTACAGCCGTGCTGCAGGGTCTGCACTGGCTGCCCAGCTCTGGGTGGAGGTTAAGGTATTGGTGATGATTTATAAAGATTTAAATGGCCTGGGACTTTCCTCCCTGAGGGATCATCTCTCTCCCTGTGCCGTAGGGCCACAGCTGTGGTCAGCAGGGGTGCCCGAGCTGGTTCCCCCTTTTATAAAGGAGAGGGATGGCTGGCAGGGTGCTCACTGTGAGGGTTCCAGGACTCTAGAACTTGCTCACCACTTTGGGCCAAAATAGCCCAAATTTGGTGACCTTTTGGGCACACTGCAAAATATTGTCGGGGCGGGGGGGGGTATTGGGAAGGACCCAGGCTCTGCTTCACACAATGTGAAATGGGTGGGAAGGAGTTTCTGTAGGTGTCTGGTTGGCTGGGTTCCTGTTGAAATGGTCACTTAATGCTGCTGGAATTTGAGTGTGTTATCAATGCATCCGGGTGCCTAGAGCCTTGGCTAGCTATCAATTTTGTATTTTAAATCCAAATAAATACATCAATAATTTGGGAACCAACAGAAATGTCTGTTTGGTCCAGAATACAACAACTCCCAGGGCCAAGTCTTGGCTCCTCACTCCTCCATTCGCCCACTGAAGCCAGTAAAAGTTTTGCAATTTTGAGGTGAGCAGGATTTACCCAAATAAACCCAAAGCTGATTCCTCCCAGGGAAGGGGTGTGTGCATGTCTTGGGGTGCAGCGTGCAATGCCCTGTGTGCGTGAGGGTACTGGAAGCTCTGACAGCAGGAAGATTTATCCTGCAAGAGCCCTGCTTTGCTCCCCCAGGGTTTCTGCTGGAGCAGAGAAGCTTTGAATCCTAGCTGGAGTCTAGAGAAGCCCGACCAGCACAAGCTGCATGGCAGAGGTGCTGTATCAGTGCATCTCACGGACACATTGGTTTCATTCCCTCAAGGCCGCCCCTGCCCAGTTTCAAGGCTGCTCTCGTTCCTCCAGCACAGAGGGGGCTGCAGGCTCTTTGCCAAGCTGTGTCCCAGCTCCAGGCAGACTTAACACTGGGGGGGGGGCAGACCCTGGGTTACAGCAGCACGTGCTGGTGCCACTCCAAAACCGATTAAAAATTGGGTTAACACTAAAGTGGGACCCTGATACGATATAAATAATACAGTGATTGGAACCTGTTGGGGATGGGCGGCGTGTGACCCGCCGGGTCAGTGAGGCTAGCCCCCGGCTGGCCCCACCCCACCCTCCTCCCTGCCCCGTCAGAGCCCAGAGCTCCCCCGAACCCCCAATTGTCAGGCGGGCAGGTGACGTACAGCCCCCCCCAGCCTGCCCGCGGCCCCCCTCCAGGTGGGAGTGCGGCCCCCTGAGTGCTGGGGAGGTGGCATGTGCCCCTCCAGCCCCTGAGCACCGGGCGGGCGGTGCGTGCTCCCCCCCGAGCCCCAGGCAGTGTGGCCCCCCAGCATCCGGGGGCCCCCCAGCACTGGTCAGCCCCAGCCATCCGAAGTCCCGGCCACAGGTCGGCCGCAGCCGCTCCAGCCCCAGCCCCAGCCCCAGCCCCAGCCCCAGCCCCAGCCTGCTTCCCTGAAGAGGAGCAGCCAGCCTGCCTGGGCTGGGGCCACAGAGGAAGGGCAAGCAGAAGAGGGCCTTCTGGGTGGAAGGTGGGTGGGACCACGCTGGGCTATTTGGGGAGGCACAGCCTCCCCCAGCCTATGATATGCGCCGCCCATGCTGTTGGGCTGGAGTTAACAGGATGTGAATGATCCATGTGTCTGGCAGAGCAGTGAACTGTCAAGCAGTGAGCAGCCAAGCACATGTTCAGCTCAGTGTATTTTTGTTGGATTTAAGAAGAAATGTGCATCATCCCACAGATATTTTTATTTTCTATTGGAAATTTGAGTTTGTTTCACATGACACAGACACAGTGACGCGGGGGAGTATACAGTGTAGGGATATCACCATGTAGATACTTTTCCCTTTCTCTCAATGCCCCAATCTTCCTCTATGATCCCTGAGTAGAGACCAGGTCAATCTTTGTCAGAAGATGGTGTTTCACAATTATTGACCTATTTACATTGTGCGGGAAAACAAATTTGTAAAATTAAGTGGGGTCCAGGCAAACAAATGAGAATATATCAGGGACGGACCAAAGCGGCGGTTTTCACTCCCAGACCCGGATCTGAACTTCCCCAATGTTCCAAGTGCTGGGTGGGGTCATTATTCCAAGTTGGGCCACAGAACTGGTGCAAGCATATGATAGGTGCAGTATGTAAAAGTGATTGTTATCTTAAAATGTGCTAATAGCTGCCATCAGGGATCTTGGATCTAAAGCGAATTACAGACCTCATGAAACCAATGGCTGGGCCAAACACACCCTACTAGGCTCAACATACAGAACATTCAAAATCCTTTATGTAGTAAAAACATCTGGAGACAGTGGGGGCTACCACACAAGGCACTGGCCACATGGTCAGGGCAGAGCTAAGCCAGGGGTTTCCCTTGTTGCCAGTGCAGGAGCCAGGATATTGGTGTCAGACTATGTCTGTTGGAGGGAGAAGCCAGGAGAAGGAGTTGTGACCGGGATCCTGGAAGGGAGCAAAGAAACAAAGCCAGTTGGAGCTCACTGGAGGGGTAGCTGGGGGATTTCTGAGCAAGGAAAGTGCTGGCTTTTCTTAGTTACCACTGTGTGCAGGGAAACAGAACTGTGTGAGCACTTAGCTAGAGCAGTGTTACAGCCTTGGGTCCTGCCACGAGTGAACATCACTGAGTTAACTCCATTGAAAAAAACCCTTTTTCCTAGAGCAGACCAGGCCCAAGGGGTTTCCTTTGGGACTGGACTGAACAGAGCGGCACCTGAATAAACTTCCCTGTGGATTGCAGCAAAGTGAGCAGTTTGTATTTGCTTGGAATTAAAGGAGCAGGATGTTCTGGCCACGTACTAGTGTGAACTGCTCTGTTCTCTAAGCGCCATGGAGGCTCCATAAACATGGTGTCCCCAGCTCAGCCATCCACTGGTGCAACCAGCCTGTTCCAGGGGTCACAATGGCACTCGACATGTAGCCGTAACTCATGGACATTATAATGATGCCCATACTTGCTCCCAGTCTCAGGGACAATCTTGGGTCTTCACACCCTTTCCTGGTGACCAGGTCTCCCTGCCAATCTCCCAGGACTGTGTGGCAGGCAGTGGCCCATCCCCACAGTCCCTGTGAATTGCCTCTCTCCCAGCAGCCAGCTTTGCCTCTCCACAACCCCAGGAGCTGCAAAGAGCTCTAGAGACAATTGAGGCAGAAATGGGAGAAGAGAAGGGGAGGAGGGAGGGAAGAGACCCAAAGAAGAGGGAAACGTGTGGGACAGGGGGGAGAGGAAGCTCAGGTGGGGAGCACCAGGCTGTATTGCCAAGCGCCACAGATCAAAATTCATGAGACTATAAAAACCATCCAGTGATGTTACTCAGTCCGTCTTTGGACTTTAGAACCCCCCTCTGCTCCTCTGCCAGAGTGGGGGTGAGAATCGCAGGCTGAAAAGTCACCCTTTAATTCACGCAAACTGCACGACTCTCCCCGGCTTCTCAGCTGGAGACTGCGCTTACCCTCCCCTCACCCCTGAGACGGGAACTGCCGTCCATTGCCCAGCACTGCCTTCGCTCTCCCCTCCTGGTTCAGTTCCTCTTACAGATGAAGGGCTGGCTGGGAAATAGCTTGACAGGCACTGAGCTAATTCATGCAGCATGGTTCACACTCACACTCAGAACTTCTGTTACTTTTGAGGGGTGAGTTACAGACAGAGACACTGGAGACCTTCACACTGACATCAACCATTGACATCAGCTACAATGTCAACATAACACAACGGGATTGGTTTAGCCTTTTGCAAATAGCAACACTTCCCTGGCTTCCCCTACCCCACCCCCGCAACTTATGTGTCAGAGGCTGTGAAGCACTGCCCCCACACTGGAGGCCCCTCCTCTTCCCTTGTCTCCCTCCAGCCTCCTGTTCCAGATCCCCTCCTCCCTCTTCACCCTCCCTCCTGCCCCGTACCCAAGTCCCTATTCCTCACCCCACTACTCCCTCATGCCCCTCTGCTCCAGACCCCCACCTCCCTGCCCCTCCACTCCCCTCGCCTCCCTCCTTCCTGCCTCCTTCTCCAGACCCCTCCACACCCTCCCCATTTCTCCCTCCTCTCCCACTCTAGACCCCCTCCTCTCCCTTCCTCCTGACCCAACTTTCCAGACCCCCCTCCCTTCCCGATCCCTTCCCCTGGTTCCCTGCTCCAGACCCCCCACCCTACACTTTCCACTCCTCCTTTCTGCCCACACAGCACCTGCACCCCATTCCCTTGCAACCCCTGAATCTGCCTCCTGCCTCCAAGTGCCCTGCTCCCCTCACTCTTCCTCTCCTCCTTGCACAGGTTCTCTGCTGCCCATCACAGTCCCTGGGTCCTGTCCAGTCCTCTGAGCCATTCAGGGGAAGCCACGTTCCCTGTGGGCTTCAGTCTCATTGAAAACAGAGGGAAGTGGCAGCCAGCTTTATTCAGGGTGGCCTCACGCCCACATGCCGAGAGACTGTATGGAGATGACGGCATCTCGCTGGCTTCAGCCCCAGTGACTGTGACAGGAGATGGCGCCATTTGGAATGAGGGAAACTCCGTGAGTTGGTGCCTTTTATTGTGTTCTCACGAGATGGTAAAAACACCCCAAACCACCAGAGTGGGGATAAAATGGCGAGAGCTGCAGCACTGACAGCGCCAAGTGTGAGGCCCTGAGACGTGAGAAGGTGGCGCCATCAGGCAGCTCTGGGCATGTCCCATTCTCATGGCTCTGGGCGCGGATCCCCTGCTGCCGGGCGTGGACTCTGCTGTGATAACGCTGGGGAGGGGGCTCCCTGCTCACTCTGACCCTGCTCTGTGTCTCTCTTTGCAGGTGCTGATGAGCTGAGGCTGGTGAATGGAGGCAGCCCCTGTGCTGGGAGAGTGGAGGTTAAACACCAGGATCAGTGGGGGACGGTGTGTGATAACAACTGGGACATGGAAGATACTGAGGTGGTTTGTAAGCAGCTGGGATGTGGATCTGCTGTCAGTGCCCATGCCTGGGCTCATTTTGGAGAAGGATCTGGACCGACTTGGCTGTCTTTAGTTGATTGTGGTGGTGACGAGTCAGTTCTCTGGGACTGCAAACATGAAGGATGGGGTGCACGCCAGTGCTTTCATTCTTATGACACTGGAGTGATCTGCTCAGGTAAGAACTTGGCCAACCGGCCCTGTAGGAAACTCCCCGTGAGGGAGAAGGGACTGAACCCAAAGTGTGTGACATTCCTGGTGACTCAGAACTGGACTGTGCCCTGCACTGGGGTCAGGGTGGAACTGACCAGTCTCTCCCTGAGCTCCCCTGGGCAGACTGGGCATGAGCAGGCTGTGCCATCCTCTGCGCCATTAGCAGGGGCAGCTGGGGCAGTTGTTGTGGGGTGTGGTGGCCCCATTAGCAGGTCTGTGCTGATAATTGCCTGGGTAAAGCAGCCCAGTGTTTCCTTGGGACAGCGGCAGCAGCAGCAGTTGTGACCCTGCCTGTGGCTGCAGGAGCTGGGACAGGAGCCGGGGTGGGGGTGGGGGCGAGTGCTGTGGAGCTTTCCCCAGAGTTCACTGAAGCAGCAGGAGAGGAGCCCTGAGCCTGACCATGGCAAGGGGGAGGGGCCAAAACAGCTGGGGGTACAGGGGGTAAAAACTGGCTACACTGCTCCACATGGCTCCCTCCTTCCCCGAATCCCGCCGCAGGGAACTCCCACGTGGTGCGTAGCTTTTTGCTTAACAGCCTCCTTCACAGGCTGCCTTCCCATGCAGGGTGGGCTAGATTTACCCCCCCAGCACAATGTAATGGAGATACACCTGGATCCCTCTGAACTCTGCATTTGGGAAATATGTGTATGCATAACCTGGCTTCATCAAAGCTTGTGGAAGAAAAATGCCTGGGCACAGGGGCTTGAACAGAGTGACTAACACTGATAGTAACAGCCCCTGACAGGTAATACTTAGGGTAGGACCATCGATAGCTACAGCTGGCTGAACAGTGCCTCTTTGTTCTGATTAGCTCAGTTTGCACCTCTCTGCTACTTACTGATCACCACCATTGGTGAGGTCACATCTGAGCACAGGGGTCACTGCTCTGTGTGTCTCCCCCTCACACCCTGCCACACACTATCCTCATTGCAGGATCTCCAGAAACTGTGTGAGGGAGTTCACCCCAGCTCTGTGCCCTCTCAGCCCCGGCTGTGTCAGCACAAAGGGGCCACGGTCACCATAAGCCCCTTCCCTTCCCTCAGAAATATGCCTGGCACAGTGGGGGTGTAGCGGGGCAGTAACCCCCGCTCCTGCCCTGAAGGGCTTAAAACAGCCCAGGGAGAGGGCTGTGGTAAGGGAAAACCTGGGCTGATTGGGGAAGTAGCCACAGCTAGGCCATGCCCCAATCAGGCTGCAGCTGGCCTCTCTGCTTTCAGAGAGAGAGAGGGGCCTGGCTGCTGGGAAGCTCAGGGTACCTAGAGTAAGGCAGGGCTGGGGAAAGGCCAGAGGGGCTTGGGAGCTCCAGGCTGGCAACTCCCCAGGCTGCAGGGCCTAGTCTAAGGCCCCATAGAGGTACTGGGTTGCAGAGAAAGGCAGCAGGTCCAAAAACCCCTCGCCTGTGATGAGTAGCTTATACTGCAGTCTGCCCCAAGGAACGGGGGCTAGTTGGTGCCTGGCAGTAGCCTATGACTGAGGTGAGGTGGGGGTAGGGGTTCCCTGGGGAGGGGAGACCCTGAGACTGAGGAGTGTACTGCAAGGGGGCAGCATTCCAGATAATGGGGCACTGGAGTCCTGGGAGGGACACTGGCCTGCAGAGGGTGCTCCAAGGCTGGAAAATGAGCTAATTCCCAGGACACCAGCAGGAGGCACCACAGGGGTGAGTCTCACACTGGTACAGGGAGCCTCCTCAACAGGCCCTAAACAGGAGTAACCCCCAGTACATGGAGGTGCATTTGTAATACTGACAGACCCTGGTCGTTAGTGGGCAGGATTGAACCTGAGACCTCTAAAGCTTAGTGCTATGGGTCTCTACTGCATGAGCTAAAAAAAATACCAGCCTATTAACCAAAACTGTAGCAAACTCATCAATATCTAGGTGCCGCTAGAGGGAGATAGAGCACCACACCCAGCAGGAATGGGTTACACATTGGCTCCCCTATCAGTCCCTGTGCCAGGTTCAGCACTGGTGTAAGGAGCTACCGGGGCCGAGGGTCTCTTTCGGGGCTTGATTCTGGGTTTCCCACGTAAAGTGAGTCCTGCAGCTGCAGTCTCTCAACGGATCCTGGTGTAACTGACTGAGCTGCACCATCCTTATTTCCACTGTTTCTGTACCAGAAATGCACAAGTGCAGAGAGGAGCTCATTTGCATAACGGGAGGAGCCAAAAGCGTGAGCCTAGCAGCCACGCCCCCATTCCCTGCTGGGCGTGGGAGTATGTCTGTATCTGTGTGATTTCTGCCATGGTTTCCCAGCCCTGCTCGGTCACATGGTGCGGCCCGGCCCCCCCTCCCTGCGTGGCGGCTGCTGGAACCTGTGAGCTGCAAGCTGTGACCCACAGGGAGAGGCAGGAGGAACAGACGGCAGCTGCAGAGAGGGGACTGCTGCTTTCCAGGAGGGGAGACTGAGGGTAAGGGGGGGTGGGGCCTGCCTGCAGGATGGGGCATTACTCAAGGTGTTCCAAGGGTGGCTGAAAATTTAAATTGTGCCCCCCCGCACTATCAGCAGGTATAGGTAGTCTCTGCCTGGGATTGTAAATCCTGAACTTCTCGACTGTTCCCTGCAGCTTGGGGGATTTGGAGAGTATCCAGAGGTTGCAAAGGAACTCGACTGACTGCCTGGGAACTAGGCACAAGCAGTTCCCAAGGCAAATCCCGAATAAATGCAAAGTAGAAACCTTCCTGTCTGAGAAACCCTCACTCCAACCATCCCACTCCAGTGTACCTGGCTTTAAAGGTGTAACTCATCGTGGTACAAAAGTGACTGATGATAGGGTTACCATATTTTGAGTGTCCAAAAAGAGGACACTCCACGGGGCCCCGGCCCGGCCCCAGCCTGCGGCCCAGCGCACCCCCGGCCGCCCAGCACCGCCGGCCCCCCAGCACCCCCAGCCCCCGGACGCTCAGCACCGCCGGCCCCCGTCCGCCCAGCACCCAGCGGCGCCGGATTTTCCCGAACATGTTCGGCTTTTTGGGATTTCCCCCCGGACGGGGATTTGAGTCCCAAAAAGCCGGACATGTCCGGGAAAATCCGGACGTATGGTAACCCTACTGATGAGCCACATAAATTGAGTGTCCCTTCATGTTTAGTATTGAAAATTATTTATCTCAGAAATAAAGAATCGTTGCCCTGAGGTTACAGAGCCATTTATGCTAAAGGAAAAGATTCCTCAGCACTTTAAGTTTCCTGCATGAATGCTCAGCGTGTGTCCTTCATTTTGAGTCTTTATCACATATTGGCACCAAACTTGGGCCTTGTCAGGTGTCACAGATCTACAGGATCTATGCTATGCCCCGGCTTTTAAACAGTCCCTTGGAGGACACCTTCAGTATGCCAGACCCCCAATCGGTCACTCTCTTCCTTAAGGTAGGTCACGTGGCCTCAATGCCTCCAAGACTGAGCCTCTGTGCTCCAGCACTCCTGTTTCACACCGTGAGCTCTGCCCAGTGAGTCCAACTGAGACAGACCCCTGCTCAGAGACATTTACACTCATCAGGGACCAATGCACCTCAGCAAGTATCTGCAGTGACTCCAGGCGGCCTTTTCAAACCACACCAGGGTTTATTAGTAAACTGGAACACAGCATCAGGAAGTCCTACGGTTAGGGTTACCATATGTCTGGTTTTCCCGGACATAAACTCTTTTTTGGTTTGCTAACCTCTGTCCGGGCAGATTTTCCAAATAAGAGAAAATGTCCAGGATTTTCCCAGATGTTGCAGCTCAGAAAGAGCCATCTCCACGCCCTGATTGGTCCCTCCCCTGGGCATCCGCACCTGCTGGGTCTTGCTGACCCCATCCCAGCCTGGCCCACCAAGTAAGTGGAGCCACCAAGCACCTCTTGGCCTGGCCGCCTGCCCCACCACAGGGCCTCAGAACCCAGCCAGGAGAGGTGAGAGAGCCAGGCCCCAGCTCGCAGCCCAGGGAAGGGGGAGAAGCCCGCAGGGAGACCTTGACTGATGGGCTGGCTCTGCTGACCAGGCATGCACCAGCTGGCAGGAAATGTGACACTGACCCCCACCTCGAGAGTGAGGCTGCAGATACCCCCTCCGGCATCCCCCAAATACTCCCTCCCAGTACACACACACACCCCTCCAGGACCCCCCTCCCAAATATCCCCTCCAGCATCCCCCAACTGTAGCCCCTCTCCATATTGGGCCACATCAGGGCTACCATAAGCCATGCTGCTGTGGACCCAGCTTGGTTTCTTCTCTCTTTGTCTCTCAGTCCCAGATGAGCTCCCATGTCTCTCCAAAGGCCAGCTCTTAACCTTGCCTCCTGTCACTGCTCTGTCCATTGTCCTCCTCCTGCCGATTATGGCCAATTATCCATATTGCACCAAAGCAAACACATCACAATTCCCATAGTCTACATCCCAGGCAGCAATCTTGTACCTACAAGGCAGTACCAGGAGGGGACCATGAAAATGGACATGCCCCAGGGGAGAATAGCAGAGAGGCCAGCACAGAGCATGGCCTTGTTAAATGCTGTGATTCAGTAGGGTCCCTGTACACCAGCTTTGCACGTACAACAGTCACTTACACCAAATTTGACCAGGCTTGCCCTGGACAATATGCACAATATAGATTTTGCTGACCACTCCCTTTTTTGCTGAGCCACTGTCCAAATTCTCTTTTGGAGCCTGCCTCTTGTCTCACCGAGCCAGTGGGTCTAGTTGCAGTTACAGCGACTTCACTCAGCCAATAATCACCTCAGAGGTGGCGAATGGGTGCAGTGCACTAGTGGTGATGGTAAAGGCCCACTTTACGCCAGTGCAGCTGCC